CGCAATGGGTTCTCGTGCGGGGCCAGTGGCGCAATGGATAACGCGTCTGACTACGGATCAGAAGATTGTAGGTTCGACTCCTGCCTGGCTCGCTTTGTTTTGGCGCTGCGTCGTGCCCAGGTGACTGCGGAACAGGTGGCTGAGCCTTCGGCGGTCTCTCCCGAATGGGCAGCAAAACCCTCCTTGCTTGTGCGGGGTTGGGACCGCAGCACCGTTTGACACTGCTAAGAAAAGCAAGCAAAAAAAACCCCAATTTTTTCCTACTTAAATACACAACTCCCAAATTAGGAAGTACCAGAACACGGCTGCCGGTGAGTGCGCTACGGAGTTTGGGAGACAGTTCTCCGCTGGGCGCGCACCGGTACTAAGAAATGAGTTCGTGTTAACAGAAACCAGCTCTACGTGTGCGAGTAAGGGAGAGGAAAAAATACGAGCCAGGCAGGAGTCGAACCTACAATCTTCTGATCCGTAGTCAGACGCGTTATCCATTGCGCCACTGGCCCGACACATTTAAACTTCTTCCTCACTACAGCCTAGAGCCCACCACTCCGGACGCCTGGGCTGCTGCCTTCCTTCTTCACCACCTCATCTGTGCAGCTTCGGCACGTGCTGCATCTCCTCGCTCTCCCGCCAGCCCCTGCCCCACGGCACCGCGAACGCAGGTTCCGGCCAGTTCCCTCAACAGAAGCTTGGCGCACTACGCATGCGCCACTGAGCCGCCGCTTAGTACGTTGATCCATTGTACTGGAGCGCCAACGGACAAGTCCCTTCGATAGCTCAGCTGGTAGAGCGGAGGACTGTAGTGGCGCTCCCTGCGGGAATCCTTAGGTCGCTGGTTCGATTCCGGCTCGAAGGAGACGGCAATATTTTTTTCCTTCCCTCACAGTACGTGAAACCATGCGCTGTCCCTCCTACACCACAATTATAACCGGCTCTCCCGAAAAAGTACTTGTAACTAATTACTCTTTAAGCAGCTGCCGGTTCTTTGTTTTTCTCTAACAGACCCGCCCGCTCTGTAAACCCAGCCTCCCAAAGGCTTGCTGCGACACTCTGACCATCGGCAGCACTGGGAAACGAGACGTGTGCTTGCTCCAGTTGACCACAAACACTCCCAAAGCAAGTAGTGGCTTGCTCTGAGAACACCTGTTGGGATTGCCCCGGTTAATCAGGATGTTGAAGTGGACGTTGAAGCTCTGAGAACTTTTCTCAGAACCTCCTCTGCCCCAAACATTCTGACTCTGTTTTTCAAGCACACGGAAGCACCTTGGTGTTTCCATGCAGTAAGACATTGGTTCCATACTCAGTCAGGTGCATCCCAGTGCACGGTGACACCCTGCCCACCTCTCAGAACCATTAAAGTTGGAAAAGACCTCTAAGATCATCTAGTCCAACCATCAGCCCATCCCCTCCATGCCCTCTAAGCACGTCCCTCAGTGCCACATCTACGTGTCTCCTAAGCACCTCCAGGGACAGTGATGCCATCACTTCCGTGGGCAGCCTGTGCCAATGCATTGCCACTGCTGAGAATAATTTGTTACTAATATCCAACCTGAACCTCCCCAGGTGCAACCAAAGGCCGTTACCTCTCATCCTAATGCAGTTACATGGAAGAAGAGGCTGACCCCCCATCTCCCCACAGTCTCCTTTCCAGCAGTTGTAGAGAGCAATGAGGTCTCCTCTAAACCTCCCCTTCTCCAGAATGAACAATCCCAGCTCTCTTAGCTGCTCCCTATAAAACTTGTGCAGATAGCTTCAGTGCCCTTCTCTGGACATGTCCTGCAAACAGCCAATGGTGTGGTTGCATGTGATGCTTGACCAGGGACAGTATTCCCAAGTTCTGCACATCTCCATATATTTTTAAAAATGATTTTATTTATTAAAAAAAAAAAAAGCAAAAATGCAATTTTAAAAAAAACTGAAATCATCCCCATATTCTAGGTATTAATCCTTAGGGAAGGAAAGCAATGAAATGGAATGTGCTAATGTTTGATGTGTGTTGGATTAAGCAGAGGGGTTTACTGTACAAGGACTGCTCTGAAAGTAATGGCCCACAGCATTAGAGACAGATGTTTGTGGTCAGACAGTAGAGGTTTAACCTTCCTGCCAGTGTTCCATTACATTTTGTTGCTGTTAGTCCTAAACCTGCTAAGATTTCTTCCATTCTGCATTTTGAGTGAATCTGGGTATGCGTTAATACTCAAGCACTCAAAAAGATAGATCTTATAGAATACCTCCAGACAAAGCTGCTGCTCCTCATCTATTTTTCAAATGCTCGAGCTTCTGTGGTCACAGAGGCTGGATACCATCTTAGTGGGAAGCGCTCCTGTCTTGCACCAGGCCCAGATTATCTGTCACTCTGTGCTGACTCTTGGACAGATGCAGAATCCCCCATTGAGCTTCCAGCCCCAGGGAGCTACAGGAGCTCTGCCACAGTCTCCAGCAGTAGCATGGACCCTTATGCCAGCAAAACTGTTGCACTGCACCACTTCAACCCCCTGCTGAACTTTTAGACAAGCATCCTACATTGTGTAAAGGATGCTTTTGCAGTGTGTGGCTCCACTCCTGGCTGCTTTACATAGATCTGCCGCAATCCAAGACCCTGTTCCTTTTCAGGGAAATCCTGAGCTGCAGCTTGTCTGGTTGCAAGGCCTTTCTTTTGGACAGTCTCAGAGGCTGCTTCATCGGTTACTGCAGTGAAGCTGTTGATGGTTTGGAAAAGTAAAGGGAGCGCTGCAATTTGTATGTGCAAGCTTTATTAGTCAGAGGGTTTGACAGGAAAGGTAGGCTGGAATACATTGCACTTTACATCTAAAGAAAAGCAGCACAATAGAACAAAAAATGGAGGAACTGTACATTTTGAGAAAATTAATGGGTGTGCAACTGAATGTTACATAGAAACAGATCATGTAAGCACAGCTGTGTTCCCTTTAGCAGCTTTTTTGAAAAGCAAAACAAACAAGTGAATCCACATGGAACAGCTGAATCCTGAAATCCTTATTCGTCCTTTCTCCACATGTCCTCAAAACGGCCGATCCTGACAGCAGGGAGAGTGGCAAATGCTCTGCTACCTGAAATCTACCTTGTCTTTTTGAAGCCAAACTGTGGGTTCAGGTTTTGAAGCTATAAATTCAGAGGAACCCACTCAGAGGCTCAGCCAATGGTTTGTTTGGAGTTTTTGGCTGTCTTAGATAATACATTTTGTGGTTCTTCTGTTCAGATCCTCATGTCAGTAAAAGGGCTTTGCAAACATGCAGCAGCTCGCTTGTATTTGCATCACTCTGCGAGTCATAAATCTTTCCCAAGCAAAATCTCTTATTTAGAAAGAGTGAATGAGAACCACATGACTTACGGTACTTCTCCAGCCCATGGAAATCATTTCCTTGATTTCAGTAAGCTTAGGATCTGGCACGTACACTGGGGTCCTGAGAGCCATCAAGGGTGTTGTCTGTGAATAAAATTGCCATGATGCTTTTACTAATCTGGGATTTACCCCTCTTTCCCTGGCTTCAGGCCTGATCTGTGGCTGTTGGTGAACTGAGGCTGCTTCCATGGGAGCAGGACGAGGGACTTCACAGGTAGAAGATTTCCTTGAGGACAGTGTGAGCATCAGGTGGCCCCAGTGCCCCTGCCTGGAGAACAGACGTATTCTGAACTAGAGTTGATGGATTTTTAAATATCCATGCATTGTGGGAATTTTAAAGAAATGTTGAAAGTAGTACTTCTTGACTTGGAGTGATTGCTAGTGCTATGAAACACACTCTTGTCTCATAAATTTAGCTGCCGCTACATGACATTTGATGTGAAAGGTGAGAATAGAAGGAAGACAATAATGTTTCACAACCACAGAATCCAATTTTAAAGAAGAGAATAGATTTTTGACTAGCTATACGTTGACTGGTCTCTATATTTAGTGGTACATTACTTCCCCCTTTGGGCCACAGCACTGTGATTAGAGGAACAAAAATAGCAAATGTAGAGAACTGACAGTGATTGATGTAACATGATCAATAAAGTGAAATTCATCTGTCTAAGCCTTAAACTATTGTGTTAAATGAGAGAAGTTCTAAGTTTAAGATCTCAGAGTTTCTTCTTTATCTCTTACAAATTAGGGGTCTCATTTCTCTATGCTTGCTTTAGCTGTACCCACATGTAACTCCACTGATTTGCACAGTGGTATACACCTGATTCATTTTTCAGAACTGCACAGGCATCACATTTTTGCTCAAAACTGAGTGTTTTGTGTTCTCAAGGTTATCACTGTCAGTGTGCTTCTCATCCCTACTTCTTTATTTAAAGCCATGCAATATGTTCTTAAAGCCCCTGTGCTGGGGCAGAGAGGACGACCCAGGCTCACCTAAGGACAAACACTGTGAGGAGGATGCTTGCTCCTCTGCCCTTCCAAGTCCTCACTGTCCCACAAGGCAGCACACGGGCATGGATGCCATCCCAGTGCCAGCAGGGTGGTGTGGACAGTGGCCAGGGCACCGTGCAGTGAGCAAGGCCGCAAAAAGCTCTTGGCTGGGTATCAACTTCCAGCACACTGCAGCTGCGAATGGAAAAGCTGAGGCTGCACAGCATGAGCAGCAGACCTATCCATGCAGGAATGGGAAAGCTTTGTGATGGTGGTGGGGATATGAGAGCCCAGGGCCAGCAACCCTCTCCCTGAGGTGTTTGCAGATTATACAGGCGTGGTCTGCACGTGTGCAGGAGAACACAGAGCCTACACGCATATCATGCTGGTTGTTGCTTCTGGGTTTGGAGTCATCTGCCTTGTTACCACCACCTAAATGACCCTAGAGCACATCACCCTGGCTCAGATTTCCAGTTGCCAGAATTGGGTTGATATCACTAAGGTGTTGCCTGCTTCCCAGAGAGTGTTTCCACTTTGCAAAGTTGCCAGGAAATCTTCCCCAGGGCACAGAGAGATGGGGCTGGTGTGGCTGGAGAGGGCTCAGGACCGTGTCTGGGAAGTGAAACCCCAGCTGAGGGTGGGGAGAAAAGCAGTTGCACCAAGGTGAGCACTGCAGAGGGAAGATGGTGCCAAGAGGGCAGTCTGAACCAGTGAGAGCTCTGCACTGGCTGTAGGCATCTCTTTGCAGAGAGTAGATCTGAAACTACTTGAAGTGGCCTAGAGGGAGATTCTGCCTGGACGGGAAATTACTCTGAGGTTACTCTTGGTTAGTTACAGGAACAGGCTGCAGAGCTTGTCACACGTTTTTCCTTGCTGTGACACTCTCTGGGAAGCACCACCAGGCCGTGTGTGCCGGCTCTAGGAGTCTGTGCGGTAGCTCCGATGGCTGTCCCCTATGAGCTGCGTCTTTTCAGTTGCATTTGTCGGCTGAAGCACAATGGGAGTTTCTCCATCTAAACAGAGGAAGGAGACAAAAATTACTCGAAGAATCTTTCACTTGCTGCCAAAGTCAGACTTCTTTTTGGCACCACAACATTTCATCTGCTGTCCTGGCTTACGGCTTAATCTTGGCTTCAGAGACTGCTGTGTGCCTGCTGAAGAGACAGTGATGTTCACACCGTGTCCACAGATGCTCTTACACCTTGTCCAGGCATAACAGCAGATTTCAGAGTGGCTATTGCTACTGTTATTAAACTGGGCAATGTTTTACCTGGTGCTGTGTGGAGGTTGGCAGATAAGGGTCCCTGCCTGTTCCAGTCGCAAGTGCTTGTTCCTGCAAATTCGGAACACACAGCGCTGCTGTGAGTCAGCAAGCACTGACCTTGGCAGCGTGTGCAGGAGTGGGCCAGGAATGAGTCTTGAGGAAGACAAAGTTAAAAGTGAAGCAAAAAGAGAGTTAAAAGGAAAAAAAAAAAAAAGTGTGAGCAGTAATGTGCTTAAGAGTGAAGAAATCAGACATTCTGAAAGCCAGCAAGCTATATAGAAATGTTAAATTCCATTCTGAAGTCCTATGTAATATATTTTCAATAAGATTTTGAGAACTATTGTTTTGATGAGTCTGGAACTGCCAGAAACTCATACGATCACTCTATGACTTCTTAGTACTTTGTGCTTTCTCATTCCATTCAGTTATACGCTTGGTTTCCCAATATATCTGTAAAAAAATACATTTGTTGCAAAGTGGAGAGAAGCTCAGACCTTGCAAAGTTCCCCAATGGCTGTTTGTTCACTCTGATGATGAACAACATTTATCTGCCTTTCTCTTGGGCTTCTTTCCAATCCACCTTTTTTGGGGGAGGAGGCTGCTTGTGTCTCAGAGAGTGCCTCTTAAGGATTCAGCAATTTTGATGATGGTGCTTTCATATGAAAATCTCTGTGCTCTCTCTTGAAATTAACACAGGGTTCAGAGTAATTGAATACAAATTATGACTTTTTTCCCCCATATGATGGAGTGCTTAGGAAAAAAATCATAATCTGACATTTCCTCTTGTTTACATGGCAGTCGATGGGATGAATCATGGGCAGAAGATGTAATGTACAGAAGTAACTTAACCCAGAGCAGGAACCTAATGGCATGCCATACGGCTTCCCCTCAGTGCGGGCAGAACTGCTTTGACTCCTACAATGTGAAAGGCAAGGATGATTAAATGCTGAGCAGCTTCTCTGTATGGGCAATTCCTAATTTAGACACAAGGACAAAGACAGACATGTTTCATAACTTCTAAAAGTACATGAGTAATTAATTCTTAGAGCTCAGTGCGGGTTATCATTAGTTTGGCAGTTCCAATCCATTTTTAAGTTGCTATGTATTTTCCAGCCTTCCGAGCAGCGCTCACTCCCACCCTCTGCTGCCTCCAAGTTGTTCATTTCTTGGAAGATCATTTATGGAGGGCTGGGACCAGCAGTTAATGTTGCTGTAATATCCAGATGTGCAACAAGGGAACAGAACCCGCTGCAAATATGTTGTGTTGCTTCCAGTTGCTCCGTGGACAGTCCTGAGCTGACACCTTCCATAAATATTTTGCTGCCTGCACCTTTCTAAGATGTATGGTGCTTTTTATCAGAGCGGGGACCTCTGGCATGATAAATTGAACAAATATAGCTTGCTAATGGAGAGCTGCAGAATGGAGGTGCAGCAGAATTCACAGTTTAAACTGCTTTCTATAGATAGCTCTAGCTCACTGTTCGCCTACATTGGTATCATATGGAGTGCGGAGGAGACAATGAAGTGCTAAAAACTTATTGCTTCTGAGTTGTGAAATTATTTTGTTACTCAAGTTCTTTTTCCTTTTTTCTTCTTTTCTCTTGGATTTCATTTTCTGTAAAGTGAAAGTTGGTCTAGAAATGTCGTGTGGTGATAAAGAAACAAGAGAGAAGAGCAAACCTGACAAACAGTTTGAGTGCATCATTGAAGCACCAAGGCAATCCAAATTCAAACATCATCTCACCTGGCGCCACAAAAATCAGCAAAAGGGTTGCCGTCAATAGGAGCAAAATCTGGCAACCTGCAGTGTGTGTGCATCTGAAAATAAATAAACATCACACGCCCACACTGCAGACATGTGCATGACGCTTCCCTGTGCCAGCATCAAAGGATCTCGGGTCATCTGTAAAACTGTGGTGTGATACAGGTTACTGTACTTGATGCTTTTTTAATGTCATGTCTAAACCTCCACTCCCAGAATGGGAGCATATTGCTTTTTCTGAGCAGAATGGCTGGCTTCAAGCAGCTCCCACTGAGCACAGCAAGAACTGGTGGATTTGCTCTCAGAGGATTTTAGTATCAGGAATTGTGATGCCTTACCGCTGTTGCCTTCCTCAGAAAAGCAAAGAATGACTATCAAGTATTTGGGTACAACAAAGTTTAGCCTTAGTTTTAGAATCCACATTTTGACCTCAGTAAGAAAAGTGCTGGCTAGTCATAATATATACACTGGGTACAGCGGGAAGCAAAGAAATTAATCACTAGCCAGAGTGCTCAGTCTGTGGGCAGAGGGCATGTGAAAAATTTGGATTCTTGTATCATTTCCTCTTCCAAAATGAAATCTGCTGCAGAAGTGATTACATTTGCTTCTGAATTACCTATGGGAACATTTCTAATCATTACATAAAGGATGTATTCATTTCTCTGGCTCAAAATTTGAAGATGTCTACTGGAAAAGCCCAATCTGTGCCATTCTGCACCTGAATCCTTTTGACCAGCATCCCTAAATTCTGGCTGGGGAAAGAGGGAAAGGAAGTACAGTTAAAGCCAGTTAAACCAGTTATCCTTCATTTTTCTAATTCATAGAATCATAGAATCATAGGATGGCCTGGATTGAAAAGGACCACAATGATCATTTAATTTCAACCCCCTGCTATGTGCAGGGTCGCCAACCACCAGACCAGGCTTCCCAGAGCCACATCCAGCCTGGCCTTGAATGCCTCCAGGGATGGGGCACTCACAACCTCCTTGGGCAACCTGTTCCAGTGTGTCATCACCCTCTGGGTGAAAAACTTCCTCTTAATATCTAACTTAAATGTCCCCTGTCTCTGTTTAAAACCATTCCCCCTTGTCCTATCACTATACACCCTCATAAACAGATGTACCCCCTCCTGTTTATACGCTCCTTTCAAATATTGGAAGGCCACAATGAGGTCTCCCCATCTATTTTTCTATCAGTTGCAGAAAAGATGCTCATATCATCCTCTGCCATGAAGTTTTTCCTTTTATCCTTGATTTGTTGTTTTCTTTTTCATCTAACTCTAAAATGTTTAGAATTCTACTCTAATTAAGCAAGCTGGTTTTGATGGGCAAGAAAATGTAGCAAGACTGAAGAGAAGTCTAGGGAAGACAGAAATAATTAGACTTCTTCAGGCCCTACCTATACACTTAGTGTTGTCTTCAATTGCTTAAAACATAGTGATACTTTGCTAAACATGCACTCTTTTTTTAAAATGGGTATTTTGGTGAGACTTGATGGGAGTAAAGAGATGGGAAGATGGCATAAAAGTGCAGAACTTGTGTCAATAAACATCACCAGTAGCAAAAGGAGAGACCATTTTTTCTGACTCTGGGGAAATTGGTCCTGGATTTTTGGATTTTGGGGGACAGCAAAATGCCTGCCAAATTAAAAATAAAAATAAAAAAAGAGAGACTTGTATGTTGTCATAGATTCATAATAGATTCACAAGTATCAAGACTAATTTTATGTTTGCAGTTCTCAGGTGAGATCACAGAATCATAGAATTGTTTGGGTTAGAAGGGACCTTTAATGGTCATCTAGTCCAACTTCCCTGCAATGAACAGGAATATCTACAGCTATATAAGGCTGCTCAGAGCCCCATCCAGCCTGACTTTGAATGTCTCACTCTTAATGTCTTACACTACATTGTATTTATATAAAGTAATAGATTATGTTTATAAATGATCCGCTCATTTTTTAGGGGGCCTTTGCACTGAGTGGCCAAGTATGATCAATTTTTAAGCTGGCTATATTTATTGTGATATGCCTGTACGCCAAACCAATTTAAAAACAACATTCATTGACATATTAGTTATATAAATAGCATTTGTTTCAATAAGGGTTTTGTGACATATTTATGGAAGGGTATATTGGTGTGAAAAGGGAGGGAAAAACTCTTCCTGTTAAGGAAATGCGACATTTGCAGTTGCATTATGCTAATTTAAGCATAATAAACATAAGACTATAACAGCATAAGGCCTTCGATAATGATGGAAGCAAACAAGGGTGAGCTGACTGCTTAGTTCTTTCCACAAAAAAAAAACCAAAAAAAACATAATATTAATCATGGTTAATATAAATTTGCAACTGAGCAAAGGCAAAACTGGCCAGACAAAACTCTGTCTCATTTCAACAGACAAGAATAGGGCTCTTGGATCAAAATATATAACCAGTGCCAAATAGGAAATCACCATCACCATTTTTTGATAAAGCCAAAACCTACATGTGTAGACTGGGGTGTGCCAGCAAAGAGAGCGACAAGCTGTGAAGGGGTCCTGCTGCCTCAAGCCTGTGCTTTGGGTTTTTGTTAGTGTAAGGCATAGCAGGGAGTTAAGTTGGTGAGAGCAACTCACTTCTTAGAGAGGATTAGTTTTTATCTGGATTGTATCCAAGATTTGGCTCTTGGTGACACAGCATAATTGCTACTACCAGTGCAGAAGACAGAGGGCAGTTTGGGATAGAAGGGGGCAGTTCCCATTCAGCCATTCTTAGGCTGCTGCACAACCTCACTGTTGGAAGCTCTGCTTCTTTTCTTTAAGCCTTTTCTTGAATGGGTTGGCCCATGTCAGTAAGCAATGGATTTTACCTGAATGAAAACTGGATGTGCTAATTCAGGCAGGTGAGATGTGGCAAGCACTCGCCCAGGCAGAGCCTGATGCATACATGCAGAATCTAGGATATGAAACAACAAGGGTATGTGGGTTAGAGGGTGAACAACTCTTCAGATGAGCCCTGAGACTTCTAATGTTTGTGTCTAATGGGAGTTAGAGGAAATATTTAGTTATTGCTGCCACGTTTAGGTTTTCATTAACATGCAACTTGAGAAGTTCATCTGGTCATGGTGTTAGCTGGAGAGAACTGGCACATCTCCATCCAGGTCTGGAACCAGCCTGAACATCACAAGCAGAACGTCTGGACTACAGGCTCTGCAGACTGTTCTGAACAGCTTTGCTGCACATTAAGCCACACACCTCTTTCCATGTCGTTCTTAATTTGCTCTTCCAAGTCTTCTGGAGACACACAGAACTCCTGTTCTTCCCCTTCGGGTGCTTTGGGTTTGCACTTTCCACAGCAGCAGTTGAAGCAGCAGCAGAGGCAGCAGCAGAAGTAGCAGCCCGTCAGGAGGCCACAGACTGCAAACAGACCCTGGGTTAAAGACAGGGGGAGGAAAACTCCATGAGCAACGACCTTCCTGTGGCAGCCTCTGCAGAGAGGCTCATCAAAAGAGCTCAGGCTCCCACGTGCTTGGCACTCCGAGGAGTCCAGCAACTGGGCAGGGGTCTTAAGTAAGGACCAGACCTTCCCGAGCCCTCCTCACCCACCAGCTCCTATGTGATGCTCAGGATCACATCTGTCACCAACCAACAGGTCCCCGCATGCCCAACTCCTCAAAGTCTGTCTTCAGCTGGCGGCCTTCGGAAAACACCTCCAGGCAGTATGCAAAACCGCACCCACCTTAAAATGACTCATTTCCATCTTAAAAATGACTCATTTGCCCAAGCTCTTTTTCTCAAACGCTTATTTACTGGCAGGTTCTTGTCAATAACAAAGCCAAGAGAAAGAGAAGCAAAGACCCAGCTGCATCCCACATAACTTTAGGCACTAAACTAAGGCATCTAAATTAGGACTGTAGTCTCCATGAGCTTCCCACGTAGGTGATGGAAAGTTAAAAACTCTTCCAGAGGGTGATTCAGCCCTGGGAGGACTTGAGTTGCCCATTGGAGGTTTTTCTTTCTCCTATTTAGCCTGCGCAGGAGCGGAGGTTACAGCTCCTAAATTAGACTTTTTGGGCTGTGGGTTCTTGATCTGGGAACTTTGGCAACAAGAAGTTCTCACCAGCATCGACTGGATCACTCTTGTCCCTGGTGCAAAAGTGTCACAAAGTGTGAAGGCTTTAGCAGAGCCAGCATGGCTCCTAGAGGCCGAGAGCAGTGATCTCAGCCAGATCTCTCAGCCAGTTTTTTTCCTGCAGATCAGGTCGCTGTCTGGGTTTCCAGCACAACTCCACAAATACTTGTGCTCCACAACTCCACTGAGTGCCGTATGGCGGTGGTGGGACAGGGGCTGCAGGAGGGGAGCCTGTAGGATGGCACTGATTTCTGGTGTTCCATGCATGTGCCCAGACCTGAGCAAGGGGTTTGTGGCTAAGAAGCCTTCACATGTCTTCATGGACATGGTAATATAAGAGAAAAGCAGAGCCAGTGATGTTCCTGAAAGGGGAATTATAGCTGATATGTGGAATGTGCTTGTATAAAGACAGAACACCTTTGTGGCCACCAGATATGTATGAGTTAGCTTCGAGGTATGTCCAAGCTTTAGTGTTATAGACATCCAGGCTGTCCTTTACTACATACAGTTTGACTTACATGCTCTTGCAATTATATTCATAAATAAATATGCTGGTGAAGAAGAAATAAAGCCCAGATTCCAGGGTATTGTCAAACAGTGTTGACAATGAAGCTATGTAAATAACAGTTATGTCTCAGGCAGTGTTAACTTGGGCTTTGAAAGTAATAAGATCATTACATGCATAATATTTACCATTTATATGTTCGCAGGCTCAAGGCCAATAATAATCCATTCTATTCACAGATATACCAAGAGTGGTCAAGATGTTTTTAAAAGACAAGAACAATTCAGACATACTGTTTTAAAACGTTTTCCTTCCAACTGACATCTGAAACTGTTAGAAATCTCAGAATCCCTGAAAGAAGTTAAACACTTGTTTATCATTTATGCCATAATGGAGAAAAAAATCAGCACAACTGACAGAATAAAAAGAAGAATGAATGTGTATAAAGCCAAATATATACTTGAATTTATTAACAATACTTTAAATGTTCTTTTTTTTTTTTTTAATTTAAAATATCATAGTTGGTAAATCAGGAACTCTAATGTGATCAATAAACTGTCTTCACAGAAGAGGAAAAATTGCTTTTTGCTACAATAGTTGAATGAACAACTCCTCTGCCTGCCAGTGGATGAGCAGTTCAAGTACCCATTATTCATGTTAGTATGTTCCGAGATGAATATGACTGCTAAGAAGACTGACACTTCCAAAAAAGTAATTTTCACTTTGCATTTCTCTTTTCATTTGATTTTCTTTACTTCTAATGATACACCTCCTCATGATTGTCAGATTTTCTGAGTGTGAGTGTGATAGGAAAGAGGATTTACCAGGAATTTTGGTAGTTGAAGAAGATTAGGAGCAAAAGATGTTGCCTCTACCTTCTTCAGACCAGAATGGAAGAAATTAGGAGTACGGAAATCATCTACAGTCAGACTTCAATAATATTCTGATAGATAATACAAAAATCTGAAACTGACCCAGCATTTGTACATGAGAAAAAAAGAGATGAGGAATAGTGACCTCAGTTTGGAAAAAAAAAAAACCAAAAACACTTGGTGACCTGTCTGTGCTTTAAAGGTGGCAAGTTTTTGGGATGAAAGAGGGACAGAGAGACTGCTGGTGACAATCCTCAGGTGGTGCATATTTTGGATTTTTCCTGGGTATTCTGCACAGAATTCTTAAAACCCAGGAAGCAGTGACAATTTTTTGCTGGAATATTCAGTGTATCTCTTCTCACCTCTAGGATATAGCTCCCTTCAATCTATCCACACACTCGTTTAGCTCTTAGAGATTTACTAGTTCCTCTCCAGTTTCTGTTGCTCTTCTTATGAGCCAAAGCCAAAACAGTTATTTCTGTTCCTGATATGGTAACCACAGAGGATCTTGAACTTCATAAAATCTGTTAACAGTCAGCAAGTAGAAGAGGAAATAAAAGCTAAATGTGAAGAAAACCTTATTTATCAAGACTGTTAGAGCAGTCAATACAGCTGTTCTCTCAGCTCTGAGGGAATGCTTCCTGGCACCCAAGCTGTGACAATGAGGGTGAAGAAGAGTATGAAAAGACAGCAAAGAAACAAGGGAAGGATCCATCAGTGGCAGAAGCAACATTGAAGGAGCCCATCCTGCAGCAGGATTTAGCTGCAGCAGCTGCAGGTAGGCAGCCTCCAAGCAGCTTCTGAGGAGGCTGCTCCAGCTGTGGGGCTGTCATTTCAACGTTGGGAATTTTTTGGCATTTGAAACATTTCCATATGATCCAATGTACTGATTATGGCTTCCCAGACCCACAGAACTGCTCAAGTGATCTCCCTGTTGCAAAGAGTGGTGAAGCACTGGCCTGATCCATCATGAACACAGTGTGTGTTCCACCAATCTCAGATCAGAGCTGTCATAGCATGTTTGCTTCATGCAGTTCAGGCCATTTTCCATTTGTTCCAGCAGAGCCCTTGCTTTCTGGTCATTTCGTTGCTGGGAACTGGTAGGGAGAGCATGAATTTTGTATATTGCAATCCTGCTAGTTTGTTACATTTCTGTAACATCTCATTTCTGCTGAAACACCAGAATTTAACATATAGAAACATCGAGGGACAACAGTGACATAATAGAGCACACAAACGCAACTCTTATCACTAGAGCAATCCATGATGTGTTTTCCCTTGAGCAATATATCAGCATTTGATGCATCATGCTCTTCTTTTCCTGATCTCTTATTCCACTCCCCAGTTCTCACTTCTTCCACATCCCTTCTCTCACCCCCTCACCACAAACTGACAGGGCACATATATGACACCATAATCCCACAGTGCTATGTATTATTATTGCTTACTTATGCCGAGTGCTATATATAGCAAAGAACACAGCTATATTTGTACTGTAATAACTTATTAACTGGTTGTCACGTAAGTGGGCCTTCTCATTTTTGAACAATGAGTCACTTTTATTTAGTCATTACAGAAAAGAAAGTCAAAGTTAACCTGAAGCACCAGATTCAAATCTAATTAATGTCTGAAAGTGTTACAAAATGCGCATTCAACTATTTACCAAGTTAGAAAGAAGAAAATATTTTATATTAGCTCTCTTCTGAGCTAATATAAACGATGGTGTATCTGCCACTCTTAATTTTCCAATATTTATTATTGTTTAATTAAGCTTTTATTAGCATTTTAAACCCCGATCCTATTCTTTGTCAAATACCGTGTTTTTCAGAGGGTTCCTTGTATATGTAAGTACCTGTGTGCATCACAGTATTTACTTTTCAACAAAAAATAACAGCTTACCTTTGCCCACCAGCTAGAGAGCATGAAGTACGTGTTAACGTTTTCCTCCCCAAACTGTTCTGCCACGTAGAGCCCCAAGGATCCATACTTGTCATATATGTTTCGCTTGGAGAGATCAGTCAGCGTTGCATGAGCATTGTTAATCTCTTTAAATTTTTCTGCAGCCTCTGGATTGTCAGGGTTCTTGTCGGGATGATATTTCAGAGCCAGTTTTCTTAAACAAAGGGAAAAAAAAAAACACAATGAAAAAAAATCTGTAGTGTGTACATATATATTTATTTACAAAGATACAAATAAAGCATTGCAAATAGACTCAATGATTTTGAGCACTATGTTCACCCCAGGCCTTCTTATTTCCAGATCCAATGCATGCAGAGCATTCAGTAAAAGGAAAGTGCCACTGCAAATGAAAGTGGCACTTTTTTTTTTTTTTTTTTAAGAGTTGTTCTGGTTACACTAAGCATGAAAGTTGTGCCTTGATACCTAGTCAGCTCCCAAGGTCATTGAGGAAGAGCTGCTGAAAGCACAGATTTTAGCATGATAATAAATCACAACCATTTGTTGCACTACATTGCACTACATTTGCCAGGTGATTTGCATCCATTAGTAGGTTTCAACAAAGGTAAATATTTTGTAAAAGTTTTTTTAAAAAACATTGTTTATCCCATCAAAATTATCTTTATAGCAAGTGTTTGATTGTTTATCAATAGTAACTGTAGTAAAATTTTGTAAACAATGTCTATGTTTGCAGGAGCTTAGACAATGATCAGGAAAAACAAATTAAGGAATTGAAAGAGCATCTTTCTGAAGTACATGATGAAAAGGCATAGTGAATTAGCCCCAACTTCTAATGCCTGTCTTTGGGCCTAATTTGCCAGTGCCCCATTTCTGGAACAGTCTTAGCACATCAGAAGCTGATTGCTGACTGCTTTGGGCCGTCTGTGCTGCTTAGGCCTTTGCTGGGACAGAGCTCAGTGCTGTCACTTTTCTCTGACTGCACACATTGGTACGGCATCTGAGTACAGCTACAGCTTGTAAGCAGCAGCACGGGACCACTGGCTCACGAATAACGCTGGGGACGTGCAGCTTTGGAGAAAAGAAGGTTGGCTTCCCAGCACGTTGGAGCAGTGTGAGCTCACACGTACCTGCAGAACAAGCACAGACGTGTATCTTTTCGAAAATCTCCGCTCCCTTTGAAGCAGTGGCAATAAGATTTTCCCAGGACATTTATTTAATGACTAGTGCTGACCTCTAGTGGCATTAAAAGCGATTATAGTGTGTTCCCTTCTGCCATCGTCCCTTAAGCCCAGTTTTGTGATATTTTGTGAAAGTTCTTTCTGAGTGCTTCATGCCCATTATGCCAAAACAAACAAACAAATGAACGAATTAATGAGAAAGTAAATAAGTAAATAAATTTTGATTTATTTACTTATTTACTCATATGTGCCCACATTTACTCTAACAAATCTATCCTCTGAGAGTGGTACTGCTTGACTTTCTACTAAAGTCTCAGTACACATTATTCACCTGGTAAAATGCTAGTGCTTTGCTCTTGATGCAAGTTCATGTCTTGGAGACATTTTGGTGATATCAAGACTGATATAAGCCTGGGATTAGCCTCTGCCAACAGTCTCTCCAGTTCTGCACACTGAACTCAAATAATCTTCTCACAGATCATAAATAATGCCTTAAACGTATTTCTAATAAAATAAGTTCATGTTCAGCCAGATTTAATACTGATTTAATATGGTACCTTAAACGTAATAAAAGATGAAATAGGAAAACTGGAAAAACAAGTTAATTCGTGCATGACTAATGACATAATGTACCATCCAAGTATTTAAGTAGCTTATGCAATCTATTCCTTTTCTTAGCTGAAAACAAAATCTAGCAATTTGAATGAAAAATAGGAGAGACACTGCCCTCAAAACTCATGCTTGGCTAGAAGGATCAGGCAATCAATCTCTGGCCATTCTCCAAAAAAATAAAAATAAAAAAATAACAGACCCAAAGACCTCTTTTGCCAAATAACAGACCCAAAGACTTCTTCTGCCCTCCTCATATCTCCCCAGATCCCATAAAAATAATAATTTGAACTCAATGTAATTTCAAAGAGTGAAAAATATGCTAGCTGCATGCTGCTATAGCTTAGTATTACTTTTCAGTGTTAACAGCATTCAACGTAGTACTGTTAATAAAATAGGAGACATATTCTTCAGTCTTGGAAAACTCACTAAAATATTGCAATAACAAAACAGCTCTCCACACATGAAGACAACATAAACTAATCAGCGATAATTTATTCGTGGGACAGAGATCTATATGCTGCAAGTGTAATTCTTATGAATGAGAGAAAGAACTCCATTAGGTTCAGCCCAAAAAAACAGGAAGAGTAAGGACAAGAACTACAAGACAATATTGTATTCTATGACAGGGTTACAGTGCTGGTGGATAAAGGAGGAGAAACTCACATCATCTACTTGGACTTGTGAAAAACATTTGACAATGTCCCACACCACATCTGTGTCACCAAATCAGAGAAACAAAGATTTGATGGAAAGACTATTTGGTGGAAAAGGAATTAGTTGGACAGCAAGGATCAAAGATCAATCAAAATGGGACCATCCATGGCATGGCAAAATGAGTTATTTTTTTTCTGGAGAGAAGCAGAATCCCTAATTGCAAACAGACATTGGAATGTTTCCTGACAAATATTATTCTGAATTGTACACTGGAATTTGTGAGAAGAAGAAAGAATAATGATTGCCACAGAAGCATAGTGTATGGAGAACCTCACTTTCTCTCATCAGGAGAACAAAGCAGTGGAATTGTGTCCCCATGGCCTACTTGCAGGCTGACTAGAACATAAGCTGCAAAAGCCCTGGAAAACCTCTAAGTAATACCCAAACCTTCTCAGAGGTGGAGGTTGCTTTAAAATGATCACAGGACAGCAAGGAGTGTAGAGCATAGAAAAAAAAGTGGGATTTTTCCAGATGTTCTGAGACTGCAGAGGAGTCTGGTGAGTGGATGAATGATGATGAGGTACCTGAGCAGTGGTCAAAATGAGTGCAGTGTGATTGGGTGAAGTATCTCAGGGATATGTGTCCTGTGTTTCTGTCAACAAAGAGAGTGAAAGGGACGGCCATGTTGATTATCAGGAAGTGCTGCAGCTGAGGTGAGTGCATGAAGTACTCCTAAGGGTGTAGTGCTGTTGGATGTGAGTGTGTCTGGGCGT